TACTGCAAGTGTCTAGGCTTAGACTTGCAGTCAGAATTCCAGGAGTGTTAAAGTGCAGGAAGTTTCAGGCATGTCATTGTATTCCTTCCTTTTGTTAACATGTGCCTCAGAACTGTTAAATGCGCCACACACAGGTGTAAATCAGTAAAGGTGTTGCCACTGACAGAGTTTATAAAAAAATAAAGGCAAATGTGTAAGGAAACTTGTTCCATCTAAACTTGTTCAAGCTAACCCAGACCAGTCCCTGGGTACAGAGCTCTGCCCTTCATTGTACAGTCAGTTTAAATACCAAGCAGCCCTTAGATCGAGGGCCAGACACTTTGTCAGTGCCACAGTCTAAACATACTCTTAATGCAGATGGAAAAAATAGCCCCTGATTCTAGCTTGTATAAATAAAAAGGGTCTTATAATGCAAAGCATCTGACAACCTTAACTACATCAATCTATAATATCTTGTATAAATATACTATGCATTATATTAAGATACATTTACAATATTTCTTTGTCTCTGTTCTGGTAACATTACAAACAGGACGTATTTGTTCCAGTCCCCAGGTGGCAAGATAAAAAAAAAAAACTTACAAACTTTAATTTCTGTATAGCGGGGATCTACATTATTTGTTAAAATCCACAGTTAAGTCATTCTCAAAACAAGTTATATATAGCTACCGCAATATAAACATGCTGTTGCTTTCCTGTTGCAGTGCTGTAACTGATTTCCTTCTTTAATTAAGTTCTAAATATGACCTCATTTCTCACGGGAATATCAATATCTTGTATACTTTCCCAGATGACAACATATAATTCTATTTCTGCAGCAGTGACATCATTTCTGAACAATCATTAGGTTATAATTGTAATTTTTAATACCATAATATATGTATAACCACTTTATAAAACTTACAAGCTTTAAAACCTTAGATTTTATTTCAAATCTTCATCTTCAATTCTTAAAGTGAATGTTATGTTTGTGAAAGGTGCCAGATTGACGCACACAGAGACTTTAAGTCAGTTTGTCTACAGAGAATGGACAGCAGTATCACTTTCTCAAAACCATCACACCCCTTATCACTGTAAACACCAAGGAATATTGGTGCTTGTTCATTGGATGCTTGTTCAGAGCCCACCCCAGCAGAGTATTTAAGCATACAGTCAACCTTAAACACATAGTGGGCATGTGCACACATTCATTAATGCGTCATAATTAATGCATTAGTGCAGATGAACACTTTTTAACAGAGTGTTAATGCACATTAGACTAAATCTACTGGGCATTAGCACAGTTTTTGCCAGCTGCACTAATGTGCAGTAGAATTAGCCTTCTTCTCTTAAGCATCTCATGTAGATGTGCCCACACAGACCTAGCACAGGTATTCACATACATCCAGTGAAGTAGGGATGCCAAAAATCACCTGGCCCCCTAGGCATGATCCAGACACAAGAGCAGTAGTGACATAGGCCAGATATACCCATGAGCCAAATGTCTGACACCCTTGCAGTAAAGTATGAGTTTAAATGTATTGTTTGAACAGATATCAGTCTTTAGCCCTTCTGTGAACGCCACAAACAAGTATATCAATTTTTGTCAGGTATAGTAGTAGTTTATTTTTGGATATCCACACAATGGAAATCAGACTAAGACAACATACAAATTGACAGACAACCTATTGGCTTTCAGTCCATACTGGACTGAGTTCACATTTTGCCAGTAACCTATACATATGAAAGGAATAAAATTTCATTATCTAACCTCTAGGCCACTGATATCCCATTTACTTGTGGTTTACAGTGTCATTAAATGTAATAATACAGCATCTTACTATAAAGTAAGATCAAACATAGGACTGAGGCCCATGGAATCTAATTTTTTTTTTTTTATAAGTGATGCCCACTCTAGAACCTCATGTTGTATGATTACTATGCCATCATTATTTAGAAAAAAAGTGTGTAAAATATTTATTTATAACACTCTAGACAACTGCAGTTTAGTTTTATTAAGTCATTAATAACAAAGTACAGTTCTAATACAGTATTAGGAACAAAGCAGTTAGATCATAGTCAGATCATTCATTCCCCTAGTCCAGCAGTGGCCATCAGCTGCTTCAAAAAAGAGAGACACTACAGTGGAGAGATACAAGCAAATCTACCCCATGCAAAGTGTCCTCCTAGTCCTCAACAGTTAGAGACTGATTCATGTCCAGAAATAAGAGATTTTTCTAAATATTCAAAACTGATTTAATATTTACTATGGTAATTCTGAAAATTCTTGCTGCTCATGTAAATGAGCAAGTGCACAAATACAATGGAAAAAAAAAGGATTACTCATTTGCAAAGTTGATGTGGCTCTCCCTGTCGTAAATTCATGATGTAGGCATAAGAGATTACTCACCATCCAGCTTTTTAAAAAGCCTTTTGTGTTTTCAAATATCATTCACAATCTATCGTTCTCTCTTATCATTGTTGAGTAAGATGCTCAAACTACAATGCTAATGCAGTGGCATACTAGTGTTAAGAAACCCGTACTCACATTTCATATTATGAAAGTCAACATTAAGATGTCAAATGCAGCTGCTGGAACAGATAAGCTATTAATGTGGTAAAGATTATGAGGTTGAATGACCTTTATAACAGGAGGTTAACCCCATTTCCCACCTCGCACGCATTCAGTTATATAAGCAACCACTTCCATACTGCAAAAGAAACAGGAGCTTTTCCTGCCAGTGCTAACTCACATGAGCAATATACTAAGATGTAAGTGTAGATCAACTCCATAGGAAACAATTTTCAAAGAAAATGTATACAAGTCCTATATCCTGCACCCACTACAAATCATTCTGCAGATACAGATTCTGATGCACCAGAAAAGACAAAGCTAACTAAGAAAGCTTGTTTGAATACTTCTCTCCATTTAGTACACTTAGGATAATGTCCCACTGTAACTACTACTGTAAAGCATGATCTCATTATTATTTTATCTCTTTTCTTCTAAAGTTGTTTTGAGAAATGCTTCATGAAAAAAGGCATATAAAAATCAATTGAATTGTGTATCTGTGGAAGTGAGAAAGCTTTGCACTATAGTCATGGAAGAGTGCTTTAGGCCATGTGATTATTTTGTGCTCTCCTCTGATAGAAAAAAAAAAAAAAAAAATGACTGACATGGTGTTAAGAAGTGGCTAAAAATGTTGATTTGCAGAATTTGAGCATAGGAATCACTACCCCTTTATGCTCAGTCTGGAGCAGAAGGAAATGGGTCTACAGACTGTCACAAGAAAAATGAAATGATTATTTTAGTAGTGATGTCACTGTTTGCCATATTTTCAAAGGTGCATGCTAGCTGAAACTTAAATCTGATCTTAAAGGACTTAATTATAATATAATATATATTCTTAGAATTTGCAAAAAAACTTGGGACTAATTCTCTGCTAAAGTAAACTGGCACAGATCTGTAGGTAGGCATCTTTTTTTAAATCATGTGCTTAGTCTATAATTTGAATGCTAAGTATTGCTTAAACTGTGTTAAATACAGCATAGTTCAAAATTTAAGCTGCATCTCAATTTAAGCTGCATCTCTATATCATAGCACAAATAAACAAGAAACAGGACCGGTTTATTGGGAGCCAAAATTGAATTGCTTGCATTTGCATCTTTGTTGCCTAAGTGATCCTCCAAAATAACACATCTAGAAATACTAAATACTCAGTCGGTGTGAATTGTCATACGTCCATTTAAATCAAAGCTATGACTGTTTTCATCAGCTGAGAATCCATCCCATTTATCTTAAAATGCAAAGACAAGGGCAGAAGCAGGTTAATATCCACCAGGAGCTGATTGGGGACCCTTCTGCTATATCCATCTGAACACAACTTCTATTTTCATTCTTTAAGAATGTTTCAAAAGGAAAATGAAATTGAAGTACATGTATTTTCAAATGAAATGCTATTTCCACCAGACTTACACGTTACAAAAACTGATGGCTGTAAGACAATGGAAGTGTCAGTAGAGTCTTGCATGTGAGTGAGATGCTTAAATATAGACTGCACATGTGAGACTGAGTGCAAATTAATTAGATTTGTGGGGTCTTTAGTTGTGCTGGCCTTCATATCATTGCAGAGTTCTTGTTTGCTTTAATTTATTTTCTTTGTTTGATAATGTTTGACTAATATATACATTTATGGATTGTATTTGTAAATGCCACCAATATAATCACAAGAATAGAATATGTTCAATGTTTTTAGTATGATGATTCTGGAAGATTTTCTTCTTCTTTGACTTTCAGTATTTAACAAGGGAAACATTGGTGCATTGATGAATAAAGTTTCATATTTTTTTAAATTTTCAATGAAAAGCCAGATGCAGAATAATGTGACTTAATGAGGCATTTCTAATCAAATACTGCAGAAGTTAAAACAGACTCATACAACTGTTTGCTCACTGGTAGCCCTATAATTTACAATAAATTTTCAAGATGGTGCTCACATTTTTTTCTACAAAAGTATTAAATGAAATGATTTCTTCTTTTTCACACTTAGTGATAATGTATTAGACTGATAAACATTTTGTATTATACTATTATTTGAAATATGTAAAACCTAGGACATACTGGTCCTTAATAATCTTCTTCTAATTGACTATTATGCTTTATGCAATTACTTAGCAATAATACATCCACAAGAAAAATACCATTACAGCATTAGGTATTAAATGCAAGTGTGGAGGTGCTCTCATTTGAAAAAAAATGCCTAGATATTTTATGCTTAGGTACACTGTGTTTGGAAAGTGGTCCTTTAATCAGAAGTCTCAATAACGCATAAAAAGAAAAAGTATGTATTATTCCTTGAAAATATCATCATTCTACCAGCTCTAGTGGTTAAATTATGCAACTTGTTGGGTATTAAATGCTCTTTTGTAACCACAAAGAAATAAGTTACCTTATCTGCATTAACATAACTCCAAATGAGGTTCAACAAATCTTTACTTTGAAACTTGCCATTATAACTTACTTGCTAATTTAATCCATATCCATCTATATGAACACACGTCAGTTTTCAGCTCTAGTAGTTCCTCCATATATTCCCCACTGGCATTATCAGCTGCAGTACATGTACCTAGGTATAAAACTGAAATTCCTTGGTATCTCTGAAGAAACATGCAAAAATGTTACACTGTATGTCAGATGTGACAAAATACACTTCCCAGATTTGTTCTCATTCTCCGATTAACAATAATGCGACAGGAATCCAGATTTTACTTCAAAGTCTCTCACTATCAACTAGACAACATATCTAAATTCATTCTTTCAAAAGCCCTCCTGCATTCAGATTATATATAGGAGTTGATTTAAGCATTTTGTGAATAGTGACCATGATCTGAGACAAAACTATTTATAAAATACCCTCAACCAAAATAATGGTACTGAAATAGTTTACAACATTGGAACTTTGGAAATTAGGGCTATATTAAGCTGTAAAATAAGCCTGTGTTCAAATGAACATCACCAATACAAGACCAAAGCTTGGTAAGAAATATATCAAGGTGAAATTTATGTGACTTACTTTACTATCACTGTACAAATAATTATGAAATTATTTTTAACAAACGCAACAACGGTTACATGCACTATGCTTTTCTTTCACAATACATTTGCAGTTACTTTACATGGTGAATGTATTTAATAGTCTTAAAAGTATGTCATATTTCTCAAGCTTTACAAAGCTATATTCTAGGTAGTATGGGATGTTGGGAACCTAAAGTATTATTTGGTTTAGTTTTCTTTACTCTGTAACTGCACAAAGGAATCTTAATTTAACAATTTGCTTCTGCTTACATCACCTAATATAGTACCCTTAAAGTGTTAAATTGATGCCAGTCTGAATGTTAATATCTAAAACCAGTTTGTAAAACACAGAAACTAGATAACAATTATCATTTAGTCAATAGTAATTTAAATTTATCCAGTGCTGGGAGAGGACCCTAAGACCTTGAATGTTTTATGGGGTTTTTAGTGCTAGGGGTTGAGTTTGTTTATTATTTAAATTAACAGTTCAAAGCAAGATTCCTTAATTACACAGCCAATATGGGGGGGGGGGGGGGGGAGAAGGGATTGGTGGTTGTTTTAAAGCAAATTAATACTCTCCAAGCAAAGGTTGGGAAAAGGCAACTGTAACTACACATATAATCCCAGGTGCTTCAGGCATTTTTTAAACTCCTGGTAAAGATGAAGAATACAGTACAGACATGCATGACAACTCTGCTCTTAGCAGGGCACTGAAAGCTACTGCTTTTTTTTCTGCTGTGTCCGTGTAGCCCAAGCATCTGTTCGCACAGCACTTCAGGAATACAGCAGGGATTTCTAAACTTTTTCTCCTTGCAAAGGTATAACTGGGGGGAGAGGGGAGAAAAACCTTCCCGCTGTGAAAAAGCACAGCTCTGTACCGCAGATTTCCTAGTTCCATTAATTCACTGAAATGGGACGAAATCAAAGCAAAGCAGATGGGCAAGAAACCTCACGTTGCAGACAGGTAACTGGGGGGGGGGTAGCATTAGACTCTGAAAGGAACGAAGCCAGACGCTTTATACCCCCTCCCTACCTTTTTAGTCATTCGACAGATGATTCCTCACTCTTTAACCTCTCCCCCAAGCCATGAAGTAAAGCGATGGGGCTCCAAACAAAACACATCTCCGGCTAGGATGGCTTTCTGGAAGTGATCGGCCACGCTCTTTATGAAAAGAGTTAGGCAGAGACATGGAGGGCCGCCCTAAAACCTCCACCCTCCTGCAGAAATTGCCGGAGGATGAAATAATGCAAAATGGGATGTGGGGAGGCTTGAAAGAAGCGACTTGACACATCCCACTGATCCTCCCTGGTGCAGGACTCACTGGGCAGGTGCAGCCCCGGGGAGTGAAATTAACCTGTTCTCGAGGCTTTGCTTGAACTTTCTCAGCTGCAGGGG